AGGTGAGCACTCTGCAAGGCAGGTTAACACGGTTCAAGCATAGGGCGCTGTCGCAGACAGCAGGGACGATACCAAAGCATGTAGATGGCAACACTCTTTGGGGGCGAGTTTGTGCAGCCTCAAGGTGCTACTTCGCGCTAAGACAATTGGTGGTATCTCAAGAGTGTCAGCGTGACATGCCGCACGTAGACCAGTGAATTAGGAGAGCTGCGTTGGTGGAGTGCGGTTGACTCGCATGTGTTGCATGGCGCTGTGCAGCATGGATAAAAGCATCAAGGACATCTCTGCTGACATTTGGGTTGGTGTTTGCCATACCAGCCCAGCGTGCCCAGTATTTGACATTGAACCCACACTGCCGTCCACTGAAGGAAGCAGTCCTGCAGCGATTTTCAGCAGTGCGCTCGCGGGTGCTGTGGGGAGAGCACCATATGACCCGTTGGAAGACTATGCACCAAGCGGAATTGTGCCTCGCGAGCTTCGTGAGCCCATGCAAGCTAGCAGCAACATCAGAAACACATCGCCTCCCAAGTCTCTGCTGCCACGACGGAGTTCAGTCTTGGATGCAGTGTTGGCCGCCGCCGTGGGCAAACTGTGTGCACCGCGTATTGATTAATTTAATGACACTCTGGCTTACTATTGATTAATATGCTGGCATACCGTCAATACAATTAGTGAGCCATCTGCCGTACCCAAGAAGCAATAATGATGTTTCTGTCGGCAAGTTTTGCTGTGGGTGAAATCATCGTGTAAGTACGCTCATTGCATTTGCAACTACACCTATACGGCCTCAGCACAAAACGATGACAACTTTTGTGTTTCATGAAGCTCCCATTCTCGGTGCATCAAGCAAGTATCGATATTGCCGCTGCAGTGCAAGAAGACGTGCGTATTGTACTATGATTTTCTCGGGAAATGCATAATCTTGACGATCGTTGCATAAAAGCATCGATATTGTGCAGAGACAACGATGCTGGATGCGATGACAGCATCGTCGATGCAATTACAGCATCATGTATGCATAAATGAAGTATGTTTGGCAAAGACAGTCACTCTGCCGCAACAAAGAATAAACACACCGTACCGGCCGCATCGCCACGATGATCGACCACGTGGAGGTCGTTGCACTATTTGCCCGTAAATTTCCCACCGCCCTTCGTTTGCGGTACTAGGCCACCTTTACGACATACCAGCTTGTCGGTTTCGCCAATTTTCCTGGAAATATATTCGTCGGTGGTTTTAGGCAAGTTTTCAGGCTTATTTCAGTGATTTTCAGATTAGGACAAAACGTTGTTCTTCTTAAATCGGTACGTTTTACAAATACTCTGTCTTGTGGTTCATGCACTTTTTTTGACGTTACAGAACTATGCCCTTTAAATAGGTCACATCCGAGGACGGCAGTGTTTGGGAGAGACCCGTTTCTTGAACAAGGAGTGCTCCTTCTGTCAAACGCACGACGAAAACGTTGTGCAGAAGACTAATCGATAAAGTCAAGCTCGGCGCGTATCAACCTTCCGTGAGGGTGGAGGTATGTCCTTGCTGAGCGCGGTTCCGTTCACAGCTTGCCTGCTTCGCTTTCTGTTACGAGCGACCGAGCTTACGTTTTTCGCTCACCGCCGCGCTCACCGATTGAAATAAAACAGGGAAAGGTCATTTATGTTTCTCCGGGTACGCAAGATGCCGTCAAGCAAGCACGTCCGCTGTTCAAAGACACCACCGTCGCCTTTCAAATTATGCTTGACGACGAAACAAGCCTGCCGGTGAACGTCTTCGAGGTGGCTCGAGAACTTGCGGTTTATCGGCATGTCACGGCCAACGAGTGGAAACGGGGAAGAGACTCATGAAGCAGGAGACGGTGGAAGAGGTGAAGAAGATGGAGCAGATTCTTGACGCAAAAGTCGACCGCGCGCTCCTCTTTGGGTCCTTTCCTCTTAATTGCTAGAATCGACCTGCACGGTGCCACTCGTCCGCATTTCAAAATGAACATACCTGATGAGATAGGAGAACTGTAGAAGTATTCATCTCGTCCCTATCATAAATTATTCCATATAGTCGACTCAAACAAGGGATCGCATAATATTGGGACTAAGCCATCTGATTTTCGACTTGTCTGGTATGGGATCTTATGTAATAACATTCCGCTAATTTGAAAATGTAGACTGGCATGCAGCTGGTCTGATGGGATTTTAGTGGAGAAGTGTCACAAGTTCGTGAGTCTATCAAATCACAAATATGGCCAAAATGCAATTTGCTCACCGGTGTCTACTCAAATGCTAATTAAATCCATTATTTTATTTTACGTGAAGTGTCACGTTCGCGTGCAGCCTGGAATATTCCCTGCAACAAATGAATTTGAATTAATCATTTGCCCAGGAGAGATGATAATCCGCTTGCTTTATTATGGCATACAATATAAGGGCATCAGCAATTAGGACGGGTGTAACACGTCCCTCAACTAATTCCAAAGCACACCGGTATCCCATGCAAGTCACCCATTCCGCGAAATGCTAGGGCTAGTGTGTTAAGGGCCTCCCCCAAAATCTCTGAAGCTGATGAGTCAATGTTGCACGTCCGCAATTGTCTACTTGCCGAAAGCGCTTCGTAGTTGCTGCGAAGGTGGTCTTTGTTTGAACTTGAAGTAATGGGTGACACGCCCCGGCTTAACAACCATGCCAGAACCAATTGATGGACATTCGCAACTCCAACAGCCGAGACCACCCCTTCCAGCGGCTCCAGCAGGCCAATAATTTCGTATACTCCTATGAAATAGACCGATCTGTAGGCAAGGCAGCGAATGCTATGGCGAAAGCAGTATTCCACCAGCTCATACTCCGGGTGTGCTAGGTCAATAAAGTTCTCGGCTGCATAGATAGGGGCGAGGTCATTGCCGTGTGGCTCAGGATCCGATGTATGTGCTGGAGTGGAGTTTCGCTTGCACTTATTGATTTTGTTTGACCTGATGATCACGTCCTGCAGAGCCTCCAAGTGCTGTGTATAGAAGTTGCTGACACCGACATGGATGGCGAGACCATCCTGTCGCAGTCGGCTCATGTTCGTCCATGCCTCAAGCAGATGGCGCTCGAAGTGAGCCCAGTTTTCGCTCCTGGCAAGGGCTTCAGGGTTACCGTCTAGAGCGGTTCCTGCCGGAAGCGGATAGTTGATAAGCAGCAAATCAAAGTGGTCAACTTGTACCTGAATACAGACTCCCGTATCCGTACAGAAGTCACTAAAAGGCATCATATATAAGGGCGGGCACTACGAAGGCCTGCCTGTAATGCGGCGCTGATAATCTAACTCCAACCAGCCAGTTTCACGAGAGCAGTCTCCACCTTGCCCGCCAACCGCTTCTGCAATTGGCAGAGCACGCATCAGTTGGCGCTTGCTGCACGGCGCCTTCTCGGCTCTGGGGCAGATACAGTTGGGTATGGACCTTGGACCGATGCTAAGAGGCGACAGGCGCAAGTCGATCAAGCCGGGTGTGTAAGGTATGCCTCAGGATGTGAGGTAAGACAGGAAGGTCCGCACTCTACGTAGTTGTGCACTCGGCTAATTTATCTCATGCCACACACAACGCGAGGATGTGGGCACACGAGCAAATGGTCCTTCGAAGGGAGATGAGAAGAACTCAGACCGACTCTAAAACATTTGCAAAATATGAGTTTGTCTCGTCCTTTCCGTGCGAGTTATCTTCAGTTCGCGGACACTTTTTGAAGGTAAATGTCGGCGTCAGGGTATTAAGGTATGGAGAAACGGCCTTACCTCCGCAAGCATGGCCTCGACTCGAGCACGCACAGACGAGTAGTCTCCGGATGGAAGGCCATCTATCTTGTTAGTGAGCCACAATTCTTTGCGTGGGAGGCCAGAGGTGTGTAGAGCGCGGCCAACATGCCCCTGCGTTTTGTAGCGCTCGGCAAGGTCAAAATGGCGAAAGCCTACTTCAAGCGCAGCGGCCACGTTACCGTATGTCGAGGCAGGGTCTCCACCTTCCATGGTACCAAAAGCAAGTCCCAGGATGTTGTCCGGAAGGAAATCCCCTTGATTTTCTAACCTCAGGTCGAGGAATGCCTCCATTTCGATGCCATAATCACGAAGACAGCGGCAGTCCTCAAGTGTCCGTCCGCCGAAAAGCAAGCGCATCGCGTGTGTGTGCAAACTCTCTTTTTCCTGGATATTTACCTTTACTTCGTGTACAGTAACCAAAGAACTTTCAAATTCCAAACGAAGTGTGTCCCCTGACCACTGCCTCACCGAGACATTTACGCTGATCTGCAAGTGAAGGGTGGGCTTTTGAGAGCTAAAGACGCCGCTTTCGCGGAGCGTGTGTCCATTTTCAAGCCCTTTTCCAGCAAAAGTCAGACGCTGGTATTGAAGGGGGACACCCAATTCGCGCAATAATTTTTCTTTGATGTTTTCGACTCTTTCAATCGACTCAATTACCTCAAGGGGAATGACCTTGTCGAAGTCAGTTTTGACGTGGATCAGCATATCACCAGCGACGGGTTATGAAATATATTTTGAAGTGTGGTTAGACTTGACGAGCGGAGAGTAAGACCGCAACTCGTTTATATCTGCGTTGTGGATGCGTTAAACTGTTTGGTAACATGTGACATGGCGTTTTATTCGTATCCCCATTTCCCCTGTTGTTGCATGTTCGTGCGGCAGCTTCCTTGGTTTCGAGTTTATTAGACGGAGAGCAAGAGGGGACACGAGAGGGGAGGATAAAATACAAATTATGCACGTGGCGACTGGCGAGTCGAGCTGAGATGTAAGCATGTATCGAAAAGTTGAAGCTACAGGGTGCGCTGTATGAGACGTGAGCTTGCGGTTGGGGAAAACTCTGCTTCCTTGGTATCGAACCGCAATAAAAACAAGATAAATTAATAAAAATGTATATGATCAATCGGGTGAAAGGTGAGATGTATAAAGTATGGTGATCACGATGACGTGGCAGAAAACGTTATAAGATAAAGTAATGGTAATTTTACCTTCTCACCAGCCAATCAGACTGCATGGCCCAACGGATAAGGCGCCGGTCTACGGAACCGGAGATTGTAGGTTCGAGTCCTACTGTGGTTAGTATCGGTACATTGATCGATGACGATACAATCATTTTACAGCATGGTGCTTCGACAATGGTAGTACTGTCAGGGGGAGTAGTAGATACGTATCTACTATACTCCCCCTGGTACTGCATCGCAGATCTTCAATCATCTAAAGTTTCAACGAAAAGATCCAATGCGAATGGAAACGTATCGTATCGGATAACAAGTTTTTACGAGTCGTGATGTCAACATGGCTCATCATTCAACAACACTACTCACTCGTCACTGTTTTATACCAATTTGAGCTCGCTCGACCAAATTTACAGGAGAGTGGTGTCGATGTGTCGTGACACATGTATAAAACATACATCAACATGGGGGGGGATGATTGCAGAGTTCATGAGCTGAAAATGGACAGTAACAACAGAACGCACGGAAGGTGCAGAGCTGGCGACATCCAAGGAGCGTCTTTCATGTTTATAGGATTCGTTAGGATTCGTGTTTTAATACGCCTGACATGGCATCGAGATAAAACGTTGCGGCGCGTAGGTTTAAAATAGCATTCAATTTCATCGATTGAATTATATTGTTATCACATATCCAAACGAATTTAGAAATCCAACTTATATAAACGAAGTGATATAACTTCTGGGGTGGCATCGTAGAACCTCAGGGATAACCACAGTAGGACTCGAACCTACAATCTCCGGTTCCGTAGACCGGCGCCTTATCCGTTGGGCCATGCAGTCATATGGATATGAAAGCCTACATAAATCACACCCAACAAATAAAAAGATGTCTCCCGACTATGCAAGGGTCACCGGTGAACTTGAATTTGCTGGCGCAACTCAAACGATTGTGGAATGCCAAAAACGTTTCGCCGCCACGTCAAAGTTTCGCTCGATTGCTGCATCATCGATCATGCTGACACTTTGCGAAGGGCATCGTTCGTTTCGGAGTTGCGCCAACAAATTCAAGTTCACCAGTGACCTTTGACATAGTCAGAAAACCCAACACACGGCACAGAGCACTAAGTACAGAGCACAAAGTACGGAATGCGTAGCACGGAACAGGGGCAGGAGGAACACAAAGTATAAAACACAGGGGCTCGGGCTCGGACAGCACAGGCATATGGTCAGAAACATGACCAGTTTGAAATCAGGACACAGAACTGGAATTACATGCAGACAGCACACAAAGCATAGGGCTGCACAAGACCATACTGCACCTTGCATTGAAATTTTCCCATCAAGAGCCCCTCAGCAAGCCACAACAAACAATCCTCACTCACAAAACAAAAGCAGCAAGAAACCACAAGCCACAACACGTAGCCTGAAAACAAGTTCGGGTATGAGTGAACAGGCGGACTTCATCGAAGAAGAGCATGAGGGAGAGGAGCCTGAGGAAGAAGATCCGGCATTCGAGTTTTCAGTAGTAGACACTATTGCAAGGCTAGGTAGAGAATGGGATGCCATGTCTTATGCCTTGGTTGAGCATGAGCCTGACGGAGACGTCCGCGATACCTGGGCTTTGGCTTATGCCCGGGCGAGACTGGCTTACCCTGAATACCCCTTAGACGAGGCTGGGCGCCCTCTGAGGATTGGGAGCCATGCCCGTACCCGTCGTAGAATCAGGAAGTACGACAAGTACGGGCTGCCCCTCTGTTGCATCACTTGCAGGTGCAATGGTGCTAACTGGCGCCAGAATACCGACACTGAATCCGAGGGATCAGTATGAAGAACAATGATAGAAAAATGATTGAAGTCAAAAAATTTCTTGTAAATTTTATTATTCTTCAAGTATCACTTGCAATCATAAACATCTGTGCTATAGCCTCACACCCATCAATTCAGCAATTAGAGGTAACCTGGGGAACTGCCCCGAGACAAGACTTGCCGACAACCCATGTTACATGCAATAAGAGTATCACACTGCTGAATAGACCACGCTTTTCACAACTGTTCCACAATGCACAGAGCACAGAACTAGGTCAGCCCGAGCAGAGAGCAGAAAGCACAAAGCATCAGCAAATGGAGTACGGAACACAGTTTAATAAGCATAGGCAGTTGGAATATAAAGCAGATGTTAGAGAGCATAGAACAAGTGAAGTTCAAACACGGAGTCCATTAAGGGAAACACAGAAAGCAAGCAAACCGACCATGAAAATCAGAGCACGGGACAGGGAGGATGTGGAGTCAGATCCAAAAACACATGCTAGGGAGCAGTCAACCTCGAATGCCCGAACACAAGGCATGGAGCACGTGATGCTAAACAATGACAAACCGAGCAGATATTACAAATCACAAAGCATTGGTGGTTTGAACACAAACCACATAATTTGTTTCATTGAAATAGCAAACAAAGCACAAAGGGGACTAAAAGGAATGTCTGTAACAAAACTGCAGGAGAAGGGGACGGAGGAGTTTGTGGCCCCCGCGGATGGTGCAGAGGCCCAGGTGTGGATGTCACCGATGTCTGACACACCGCTGTCAGTAACTCCCGAGGAAACTGAAACAGACACAGAAGAAGAAGTCTATCTCACACCGCAACACAACCCATCCCATGTAACTTATGACTTAGTCAGCCCGGAGCATTCAATAGATCATGACAGTGAAGAAGAAGAATCGAGTACCCCCGAGCACAATCCGGTCAAAGTTACCTATGATCTAGTGAGCCCTGACCACGAACCAGACAGCCAGGAAGAAGGAGGGATGTCGCCATGGTAATTTCAAAAGATTTAATAGTAACATAGCAAAGAATAGGAAGCAACCAACCCTTCATGAAAACAACAACTTGTTGATGATTCTATTTGAAGGAGGGAAGGGGAAGATGGGATCAGGGATGCACCTGATGATGAAAATTGTGTGGTTACTAATCATGTCGGTTAAAGCGGGGCAAGGTTTAAGTAAATTGGAGGCCACAAATATGACAATCACAAACATTAGTATGATCAAACCGTATGAGGATTGTTTATGGCAGGGGTCAGGCAAAGGACCACTACAGGAGGACCCCATGTCGGACGAGGATGAGGAGGCTGAGGTACGTTTTGACACAATTAAGTGCGGGCCGCCTAGAAGGCCTCATAATGCAACATTCCTTGCCAATCACAGGCAAGATGTTTACTTCATGCAAAAGGTCATAAAGGATGATTGGGGTGTAGGGGGTTACACTGTCACACACTTGAGGATTGCACAAGAGAGTACGTCACCAGTAGTGTACTTAAACAGAAGCACAATTGTGACTCACAACCAATTGACAGAGGAGGGGCTGGTAACAGACCATGAGCTCACAAACAGTGGGTGTGACCAACAGGAGGGGCAGAAGGGTGGAGGAATGTACACAGCACTGGCAGGGGATGAGGTGGATAGGGAAGCAATCAAGGAGACTGCAGCCAAAATTCGGAATGGGGAGCTCACCAATGCAGTCCAGTTGGATGAGGAGGAAGAAGAGGATGAGCAATTCAAGGGCCAGTTCAGATTCCTGAAGCTGACAGGAAGGAAATATGCAAATATCACCAGAAAGGAAGTGAAGCAGGTCAGGACAGTGGTAGCCGCTGCAATCTCAAAGGCGGGGGGAAATCCAGCTCTGGTGACAGCAACAGCACTGACCTTCGGAGGAGGAAAGCAACCTTTCGTCCTGATTGGAAATGTAGACAGTGAGCACACCCAGTTGATGTTTGACCTCATTCAGATTAAAACAGCGAGCGGAACAGACTGGACAGTCAGGGTGCACAATGTCGGTGACCTCTATTGGGAGGCCCGATGGGCCTGGAAGCCATCGAACAAGCAGGGGAACAGGATGCCGATGAAGGCAAAGGATGTTGCCAACTACCTCCTGAAGCACCCCATGACTGCCGAGCTAGTGGAGGACATCAAATACACTCATGACCGCATCCACCCTATCTCAAACAACCATCAAAAGGTAACAACACATGCCACCTATCAAGCCCGAAATGTTAATACAAGGAATTCAATGAAACATGCACCGAGCACAATTCAGCCCACCACAAAGCAGCAGGTTGTGTTACATAACTTTACAAGTCTAACAAGAACCACTACAAAACTATCGGAGGATAACAGACCGTGGGACACGGGAAACACACGACAGGTGCTGTTTCTGAAGATGAAGAAGGGGGAGGATGGTGAGCCGCTGCAGAAGGGTGGTGATGACTATCTGGTTGATGGGAATGAACCCCCGGAAATCATGGATTTCCCCACCGAGATGCAGGTTCTGGTACAGGGCCAGGAAAGGGGGAGGCTGGTGCTCTCTTACTTCCAGGGCTTTGAGTACTGCAGCTCGGTCACTCACGGAGAAGACAGGATTGCCAGGCTCAACCACATCAAGTGCATGTGTTACAATGAGAGGATGCTTCAGGGGGGAGAAGCGGGCCTCACCCCTGAACAGAAGGGGAAAGGGGAGAAGCGGGACAGAGGCACCCCTGGCTCAGTCGGAGGAACTAAGAAAAAGCTGAACAAATCCTTCAACACCGTTAGTGGCTAAGTTAAGTCTGCAGGAGACTAGCTCACCTGATTCTCAGCAACTTTTTAGGATGAGCAGACAGCTGCAAGCAGTTCATACAAGCATAGAAAGCAGAACTTTAAAAACAAAACACCTGTACACTTGCCCCGTTGGAGCACCGTGGCCTAGCACGGTGTCCGCCTTGCCAACGGGGGATCGCCCAGAAAACCCCGGGTCTTGTGTAAAATATATAAAATACTGTTGCAGCAAGCTGACTATGACAATAGCACTAACCATCTGCGGGCCAATTCCCCAAAGTAACAGGCTGGGCACTAATGCAGGAACACATAATTGCTAAAATGGTCGGGAAGACAAATTCAGCAACAGACAAGATGAGCATTCCAATCGAAGGTATGTTAATCACCACCCTTCACATCATGGCCCGCTATGTATCCCTTCAAAGAAAACGGATGAGAGAGGAACTCACTGCATCACAAGGGCCGCTCATCCTCCTTTGGCACGTGGCATCCTGCCTAGCACACAACAAAGCAAAACCGACAAAAAACAACAACCCTG